TATATATATATATATATATACACAGGGGTAGAAATTAACTTTTGAACAAGGGAGTCCAACAAGAGGGAGTCCGCAGCAAAATGAGGGAGTCCGCAGTCTGAGGTTCAAAATTAAAGATATTAACAATAACGTGTGTGCTTATTTTTAAGATTCATGCAGTTGCACGTCTGCCAAATTTTCTTTGGACATTAGCTGAACAAATACAGTAATTCCGCGAGGCCGTGCCCTGGAACGAACGAACTAGTTAGTATGGCAGAATTTTCAGGGAGTCGCACGGACTCCTGCATATGTCAAATCGGGGAGTATTTGACTCCGGACTCTCGTTAATTTTGCACCCTGTATATATATATGTTATGTCTAAAATGAAAAAGCTGTGGCAAGCAAATGAACTTTGTTACCAGATCGGCAAAAATTGAAAATGTTGAATCTTTCTTTGCTGTGATATTCCGATTACAGAGGTTGACACGAGCACCCAGCGACCATAGGGATAAAGTGATGACAGCTTATGTGAAAAATGACTTACTTGGCTGTGTGTCTTCTGGAACACACAAGGTAAAACACTTATTATGTTTAATAAAGAAATCGATACAAACCTTTATAATGAAATATATCTAACAGAGTAGTTTTAAGTTTCAATTCTAAATTAATAAAACAACTCGTTTTTCTTTTCAATTATGTTTTTAGATAGCAGTGCTCAATCTATTGAAGTCTTCAAAATCTGAGGTCAGGGAATATACTGTGCGGCTGTTGAACACCTTTGCTTCGTTAGCTCTTGGTAAGCTTGTTTCACACAATGATCAACATGTCAAGTATTTTTACTACCCTAGTCGCTCATCATGTAACAGTATGATAATCTTGTTTTCTACAAGACGAAGCATTTGAAGATGAAGAGCATGGAGAAAAACTAAACATATTTTACATAAAGTTACATGTTTGTAACCTTGCCCTGTATTCATTCATCTGTAACCCAACCATTTAGACATCTTTACATGTTATATATTAAAATATTATACATCAGAGCTTGCTGCAGAATAGGTAAAAAATGTGTAAAAACATGATAAGAAGGATCAAGACGATAATCTTCATTTGATCCTTGCCCTTTTCTGTTTTGTTCCCACATTAAATCTTACTCTCACCTACATCATTGTCTGTGCTACGTCGATGGCCATGTACCACAGGCCAACGTGTTGATGTCGTGTTTGTGTTTGTGTGTGTGTGTGTTTGTGTGGGTGGGGGGATGTCATGTTGGTGTTGGTGTTTGTGTGTTTGTGTGTTTGTGTGTTTGTGTGGGTGGGGAATGTCGTGTTGGTGTGTGTGTGTTTGTGTGGGTGGGGGATGTCGTGTTGGTGTTGGTGTGTGTGGGTGGGTGGGGGGATGTCGTATTGGTGTTTGTGTGGGTGGGTGGGGGAATGTCGTGTTGGTGTTTGTGTGGGTGGGTGGGGGGATGTCGTATTGGTGTTTGTGTGTTTGTGTGGGTGGGGAATGTCGTGTTGGTGTTGGTGTTGGTGTTTGTGTGGGTGTGTGTGTGGGTGCAGGGGGATGGTTATAATGTGCAGGAACGGCATCCCGCGTTCACCTCGGTCGTGCGTTCACGCTCTTGCTCCTCATCCTCCTGCAGGGAGAACGCACATGATGCAGTGTCCGGAGCTCGTGAAGACCTTGTTCCTGTGTATCCGGC